CCTTTCCTCATGCGATCAAGCATGTCATCCAGGATGATCTGTTCCATGTTCTTCCCAGGCTCCCTCAACCTACTGGCCACGCTCTTTTTAATGCACCCGAGGATACCATTGGTCTTTTTGGCCAGAAGGGCACACTGCTGGCTCATGGTCAACCTGTTTTCCACCAGGACCTCCAGGTTCTTCTCCACAGAGCTCCTCTTCTCATCCCCTGACCTCCACATATGCATGGAGTTATTCCTCCCCAGGTGCAAGACTCTATGCATGATCTTGCTAAACCTCTTCAGGTTCTTCCCCTGCCAGCTCTCCAGACTGTCCAGGTCTTGTTGCACAGTAACACAACCTTCAGGTGTGTCAGCCAATCCTTCCAACTTTGTATCACCAGCAAAGCTGCTGAAGGTGGACTCTATCCCTTCATCCAGGTCGCCGATGATCTCCTCTTTACAGCAGACATCCTAAGCACAGTTTCACTGGATCAGGCAAGTTATCTCAATGGTCATTTTTCCTTTATATGGATGATGCAAAAGGTGCCAGCACATAATCAAAATCCTGACCAAGCATGTTAAAAAACAAAAACAAAAAAACTGCCGTCTGCCTTTCAAGAAACCTCAACCATGTGGTATTTGTACAGCAATTCATAATGTGCACTGGTCTGAACATGACCCTAAAGTTCTGTTACCACTGGGCAAATACATTACGCAAAAGACATTAAAAGGTTTCCCTATCATTCATCTTATGCACGCCAGCTTTATGTCAGTTTAATTACACTGGCTAAAGGGTAGCAATTCCAACTTTCCATTGCTATGAGATCAGAATCCTGCATGCAATTTCCAGGAGCATATTAAATGAATTAATCCATAAATAAAACAGTCTACATTTTATATAATCAGCTTCTTGTTTTCTGACATTGAAAATACCTAACTACAGGATTAAGAAATAGCAACTTTGCGAGTCTAAAAGAAACACAAAAGGCTTTGGGAGACAACTTCCTCTGGATCGATAAAGTAACTGGAAGAAAGAGCCATATCCTGATACTGTTCGCAAAACCTTGCACTGCTCTCTCTTAGGAGATCTGTTCATGCAGCTTTGTGTGTCAGTAAATAGAGCCCCTTGGATATCACAAAAGATAGCTTGATACACAGAACTGCAATATAATTAATTTTCATATGCACTATGATGTATGTCTATGTTTTTCCAAAAAAATTATTTCTTTCTTCTAATCCCTACCAATGTTATGCAATAGATAGTAGCTTAATACATAGTTTCATGTTGTTGTGCATTATGTCCAGTGGTTGGTCACTTCAGGGAGGAAGATAATTAGAACACTCATATCCAGATATTTCTATTTCAATATATATTAAATGTAGGCACATATTATGCCAATATACTGGGAATTTAGATCCTCAGCTGATTAATTCACCCTTTGATACTTGCTGCATCTTGTAGATTATTTGTTTAACTTCCTCAGCCATATACTTTGCAGGACGTCCAGCTAAATAAATACCAAGGCTCTCTCTTCATTTTGAAAAGTGACTCGTTATCAACAATCTACAGACTTGTAGGGAAGTCCCATTCTTGGTGTTTTCACCATAGTAATTACTGACTTGCCATGTGTAGTGACCTACACATACTTGGGCTTTTTAAATGCTGGAATTGTAATTTTTTTCACTTGTATCTCCTCTCATCTTAAAATGACAGAAACTGATCTGCAGTTCTGTGACAATCCCAACTTTACATTAGACTGCAATAAGCAGTTCAAGAACACCAAGGGGAAAGTTCAGCCTATATTCTGTAATATTTTAAGAGAAGTTTTTAGCCCCTTTGGTGGTATAAACCACCATTCTTATGTAGAGTGAATTAACATACTTCCATCTGCTTGTTGACTCTGGTGGACTTATAGCAGCAGTAGCTTGCCCTGCAACATAAAAAATAAAAATAATAAAAATGCTACAAAAACATTTGTCCAACACAAACAGATGCTTTTGCCATTGGAAACTTCAAAATGAAATACTGATACTGATGTCTTATAGAACTCAGATTTTTGAAAGATTCAGCCTATATCTGAATCGGTATATAATCACATGGGGCTCTGTAATGCATATAGCCCAAACAATGTCAAAATAATTTAAACTACTTTCATTTAAAAGATTTGTATTTATGCAAAAGAATTACTTTTGTTTTCACAGAATCATAGAATGGGACCTCAGGGATCATCAAGTTCCAACCACTCTGCAGCAGGCAGGGCTGCCAACCTCTTATCTAATACTTGACCAGATTTGCCCAGGGCCCCATCCAACCTGGCCTTGAACACCTCCATGGATCTAACAGTGAAACTTAGACTTTCCTATGACAGCCTACTAAAAGTGAGGAGTATCAGTGTTAGAAGGAAAGTGCAGATAAAAATGAGAGGTATTCAAAAGGAGGAAAAAAAAAGTAAATACTGTACAGGGTATGTAATCATCAAAAAAAATCCCTTGCTGCTGGAGTCCACATTGATTGATTGTGTGGCTGGATAACAAAGACAGAAATGTTTATGACTGAGTATTACTTGTGCTTCCTCTGTATAAGATAAGCATAATCACGTTTCTTGTTCCAAATCATAAACTCATCAACCTAGATTTCCACCCTCTCAGATTTCACCCTGTGCAGGGCAATCTCAACAGATTTATGGCCAGACTGTGAAGTTAATTGGACATATGGTCTCCAAAATGCAATCCCAAGAAAGAACCACCTACACCTCATTAATTAGGCACAAGTTAATCCTATTGCCTTCCAAAACACAAGCAAGTCAGGACCTATAGACACGTGCCTCCAGAGCCTTGAAAATAAATGAATGGAACACAATGTTCATTTTTCAAATATATCTAGAGGAGGTTTAAGAGGCATCACTCCTCTCATCTGGTAACTGACAGATTAAACTGTTCAGAAAAGAAGCAGCCAAGCTTCTCTGTATCTGAATGGGGATCTACATCTTGCACCTCTTAGGAGTGAGGCATCCAGCTACAAGGAGTGTGGCAATGAGGAGAGAGCACGTGATAAAACACAAATTGATGCTGCTTCTTCCTCTAGCTGACATGATTTCAAAGCTGAGTTAGTATTACTGCCTCCTAGAAGCGTCCTACCTAGGTACAAGATGTGCCGTAAGCACAGATGAGTTGTGTTTATGGGAGTTGACTGCCTCCCTACCTAGATTTTGGATTGGAGTAGGGAGGACAGGCATCTCAGGTTAAGGTGTTTCTTGTTACTGAAAAAGCAGAATTCTAAGAAACATCATGCATCTGACAATAAAGGAATGCAACATTAACACCTTGCTGGTTCAACCTCCAGAGCAGCTACACTTGCAAGATACCTTAAAACACAGTCTTTTAAATCATAGATGGAGACATTGAAGATGAACATCCAGAAATACTACATGGAATAACACTGGCTGAAATAGTACTTTGTCATCACAGTGGACACCTTCAGTCTTCAGGAAAGCATGGAACAAGTCCTCCTAGAAACAATTACAAGCCAAAAGAAGCAGGCGACCAGGAAAACCCAACACAGACCTATGAAAAGCAAATCATGCCTGACTAACCTTATCACCTTCCGGAACAAAATAACATCTTCTAACCAGATGGGGTGAGCAGTGGACTGTGCTTTCCTTGACGTCAGCAAGGAACTCAAAATCATTTTCAACAGCCCTCTCCTAGACAAACTGGCTAGATACAGATTGGATGGGTGACTGCAAGGTGGGGTGCGAAATTAGCTAACAGGCTGCACTCAGAGGTGGCAATTAGTGTTTTTACTTATGCTGGCAGCCTGTCACAAGTGGGATCCACCGGGAATCAGTACTGGGCCCCACACCGTTCAAGATCTTAATAAATGATCTGGGATTGACCAGCACCCTCACCATGTCTGCTGATGACACTAAACTGAGTGGTGAGATAGAGAGATCAGAAATAAGAGCCCTACACAGAGACCTCAACAGGCTGGAAGAGTAGGGAAGCAAAAACTGTATGATGCTTAACAAGCTCTTGCACCTGGGGTGACATAAGCAGAGCTCAGTACAGCCTCAGATCTGTAGGAGAGCAGCTTTGCTCTAAGGGACCATGGAGTGCAAGCGGACAACAAGCTGAACGTGAGTAAGCAGCGCTGCTGCTGCAGCAATGAAGACAAATCAGATACTGAACTCCATCTGTGGGGTAATAACTAGCAGAGACAGAGAAGAGATCAGCCCACTTTACCCGGTGCTTGTCAGGTGGCACATGGAGTACTGCGTCCAGTTCTGGTTCCACTAATCACAGAATGGCCCAGGTTACAACGGACCTCAAGGATCACGAATCTCCAACCCACCTGCAACATGCAAGGCCACCAACCTCCACATTTAATGCTAGACAAGGCTGCCCAGGGCCCCATCCAATCTGGCCCTGAACACCTCCAGGGACGGGGCATCCACAGCCTCTCTGGGCAGCCTGTTCCAGCACCACTCTCTCTGTGAAGAACTTCCTCCTGACATCCAACCTAAATCTTCCCTCCCTCAACTTAAAACCATTTCCCCTTGTCCTGCTGTTATCTACCCTTTCAAAGAGTTGATTCCCCTCTTGTCTGTAGGTTCCCTTTAGGTACTGAAAGGCTGCAATGAGGTCACCCCGCAGCCTTCTTTTCTCCAGGCTGAACAAGCCCAGCTCCATGAGTCTGTCTTTGCTGGGGAGGTGCTCCAGCCTTCTGACCATCTCCGTGGCCCTCCTCTGGACCCTCTCCAACAGCTCCCTGTCTTTCTTGCACTGGGGACTCCAGACCTGACACAGTACTCCAGATGGGGCCTCACAAGAGCAGAGCAGAGGGGGACAATCACCTCCCTGTCCCTGCTGGCCACCCCTCTTCTGATGGAGCCCAGGATACCATTTGAACAGACTGGACAGGATCCGAAGGATGAAGATGACCAAAGGGCCGGAGAACCTGCCCTGTGTGGAGACACTGAGGAGTCGGGTCTTTTCTCTCCCGGAGAAGACAAGCGGGCTCGCTCTCATTCTGTCCCAAGCCGTCCCGCAGACCCCCTGCGCGCCTGCCCGCACCCCCAGCAGCGCTGCTCCCGAGCACATCCCGCAGCGGGCTGCCCCTCCAGCAGCGGGGCGGGCCCGGCCCGGCGCAGGGAGGGCAGGAGAGGGAGGCGGCCGGGGCGGTGCACGGAGGCCCGCCCGCACCTGTTCCCTCCTCCCGCCGCCCTCCTCTTCCTCCTCCTCCTCGCCCACCTGCCCGCGGCTCCGCGTCCCCGCCGCGCTCGGCAGCAGCAGCGACATGTTGCCCAGAGGATCCTCGTCCATGCCGCCGCCGCCTCCCAACCCCGTTGCCTACTTCCCGCCCCCCCGGGTCACGCTGCCCTCCGGCCTGGAGATCCTGCGCACCTACTCGGGAGCCTTCATCTTCCTGGAGATCGTGAGTGCGCGGACCGGGCTGCCCCGGGCTCCCCTCGTCGCGCGTTTCGCTGCCCTCCCTGCCCGCCGCCCTCCACCTGCCGCGCTCGCGCCCTCCTCGCTGCGGCTCCACCGCGTGGGCGGCCGCGCGTAGCGCCGCGCCTCACCTGCCATTTTGTGAGCGGCCGTGTGGGGAAAGGCGGGGCCGTGCCCGGAGCCGTGCCCGGGGCGGCTGTGTGCGAGCCTCGCACCCGACAACGACCCTGAAAAGTTGCGCTGGTCGTGTTACAGGTTCTGCGCGAACTCCTTCAAGTGCGCTTAGCTGTGCGGAAGATGTGTTGAAGTAGATAGGGCTGAGGTCGTTTGAGTTCAGTGTCTGGCACGAGTGGTGTGGAGGGGAGGAATCTTGGCAGAGCTCATTTTATGAAGGTACAAAGTTCCACATTCAGAGTAGTGGGAGCGTTTCATACGTGTCTGCGTTTTGATTAGCAGACGTGCCTGCTGTCCTTTCTGCTTCCTCGCTGCCCATCGCTGACTGGTCTGTACGTAACAGAGCTGCACCTGCAGTCTTGTGAAACTGGAGAAAGGCTGGTTCTTCACAACAGCTAAAAATGGAACCCCTGACAGCAACCTGAAGGCCAATACGTGAACTGCTGGGAGTTCCGAGCTGAGGCTCGCCGTGCGTTCTGCATGCGTGCAGCTGCAATGTAACGCTAGAGAGGACCCAACTAATTTTGTCACTGATTATAACTAATTTTATAACGGGCTTTTTTTGGAAGATGTCTCCCTTCCAACCTTCATTCAAGGACTTTGAAGGCACAGCCTCTGAGCTTGCAGTTTTAAATCTGTAGGATTTGAGCAAAAAAGTAGTAGCTTGCTTTGAAATTAATTGTAGCTATCCAGCTGCAGGTTGGATTATGACGTTAAACCTTTCCGTAATAAATTAATATACTGAAGGTGCTAATTACTTGTTTTTTCAGGTATCATAAAGAGGCAGGATTTGCAGGAGAGATGGTACCTTTTGCTAGGCCAGCCAAGCAAACCTTAGAATGTAAATTCTCCATCAGACCATCATCACACAGTATCCTCACTACTCATTCTCTAAGATCTGTATGCTGAAAAGAAAATTGGTGCTGCTGAATTCTTCCCTAGTTAGCAATAATTCTGGAAAGCTGTGTATTTTTCTAGTCAACACACCATTATTTATAACTCATCTTTATTATCACCATTATTTATAACTCACTAGACTCTTAGTCTAGTTTTCTCTTACACTTCATTACTTAATGTATTCTTTCAATATTTTATTACAAATACATGAAAAAAGATGATGCCGTTTCATCTCCTTTGTATGTCTCATCTGATTACAACTACAAAACTAAACAGTTCACACACACTTCAGTGTGTGTGTATATATATATGGTAAAATATTCAGCAACAGCACAGAAATTACCTGAGTTTGTCAATCCCATTTTCAACAGTATTTTAAGAGAGGCTTTGTCACGCCACTGCCTAGTGCCTACAGTTTGTGAGAACAGCAGTTGGGCTCTTTGAAGATCACAGAGCCATAGAATGGCTTAGGTTGGAAGGTACCTTGTAGATCATTTAGTTTTAACCCTGTGCTGTGGGCTGGGCTGCCACTGACTGGATCAGGCTGCCAAGGGCCCCATCCAACCTGATCTTGAGCACCTCCAGGGATGGGACATCCGCAGCTTCTCTGGACAGCTGTGCGAGTTCCTCACCATCCTTTGAGTAAAGAATTTCCTCCTGACATCTGATCGAAATTTCCTTTCCCCCATTACTACTCCATTACATCCTGTTACTACCTGCCCATGTTAAAAAGTTGCTCTCCCTCCTGTTTACATAAGCTCCCTTCTTCAAGTACTGGAAGGAATACTCTTGACATGTCTCCTCTAGGTTTCTGAAAGTAATCTCAGGGCTTGATTTGTGATATGAAGTGCTAATAAATTAAGTGCTAATAGGGGGAGAGGACAAAGTTGAAAGTTCTTTCTTAGTTCATCACCTGTATTCCTTTCCTTACAGCTGTTTGGAACTATAGTCTGGATTCTGGTAGCTTCTACACAAGTTCCACTGCCACTGCTGCAGGGATGGGTAATGTTTGTAGCAGTGACTGCGTGGTTCCTGTCCCTTGTCTTCCTGTGTGTGTTTCTCTTCGGTTATGCAAACAGAATCGCTGTCAACTGGAACCAGACAGTAAGATTTTTTAGAAATATATTTTTAATAAAAATATATAGAAATATAAATAATATATGTGCTCATTCATATATATTTGTAGAAAATATATATTCTGTTCTATAAATTGAAAATGTTTTAATGAGATGTATACCAAGTCTGAATGTCTGGCTTTCTATTAAACAGGAATTCAGAACTAGAAAAGAACAGAGTAGGGCTACAAGGATGACAAGGACCTCTTTTACAGTGGAGGCTGAAAGTGCCTAGCTTTCGAAAGTGATTGGAGCAGTGTGCCCTTCCTCTGTAAGCACATGAAAGGCATAAGCTGCAGGAAGAGGACAGGTTTAGTAAAGCATGAAAATAAGTTGATTTAAATGGTCAGAAATAATTATGAACTGGAAATTAAAAAAATATTTTCCAACTTCTAGAGAGGTGAAGTATAAAGATGTACCATTTCCTTGAAAATATTACATATATTTTTGAACACATTGTCTGATGTGGTTGTCTGGGATAGCACCAGGCCAAAGCACCCAGGTTGCCTCCTTTGTTTCCTAACAACGTCTTCAACTGCCTTGTGGGTCAGTTCCTTAAAGCCAGGACTGCACTGGCTGTTACAGCTTAGATAATCAAAGAAGGCATGGGCTGTAGTGTGGTGTAGCTTAACATTTTTGTAGATGTTTGTCATCTTTAGAGGAATGTTGGGGAAACTGCCAACTTCATTATGCTCTGCTCAGTTTCTGTCTAGTGTGAAGACAAGACTTAATTCATGCTCTAACGGAGCATTGTGGCTTGTGTCAGAAGTTCTCACAGACTGTACCTTCCTATTAAAAAGGGAAGCTGTGGTTCTGTTTTTCACCAGCCGCACAGATATCTTGGCTTATTGGTTACTAATTTATCTACTCCTTGGTTGTCATAAAGTGATTTTTTATTTTGGGGTTTTGGATGCAAGGTGGTATGGCTCTAATAATAATGGAAATGACTAAAAACAGGTGGCTAAACTGTCATCAAAGTGTGAATCATCAAAAAAAATCAAAAGTCAAAACTCCTAAAATATTAAAGCTTGTTTGTTTATAACTGTTGATCACCTTCACCTTGCTCCTAGGTCCCTTAGTTTTCTTACTTACTTACACTTACTTACACTTTTTGATCATAGCTGGATATGTGTTCTTCAGCATCAGTATAAGTGTTTATCTATGTGTTCTAGTTGTTAATAGACATCTCCTTGAGACTAATGTTCTTAAAAGCAAAGTCACAGAGCTTCATAAGTTTGAGGCTCTGACAGTTTCAAATGCCATTGATGGTAACAAACTGGATTATATTAAAACGAACAGGATGCTGCTAAGGCAAACATGCATTCAATCTCAGCTTTCCAACACAATACAGGCAGTAATTAAGCTAATAATGAGTTACAATTACAGAGGGCCTTACAGGGATTTGTGCTATGACAGCCTCACAAATTATGATGCAACAAAGCCGTGAGCATGTGCATCACTTAAGTAATAATAGTGTCTTGGGTTTCATTGAAACTATTTGTCAATTTACAATTATGAATCTACTTAAGGGTTGCTGCATGAGGACATAGTCTTTTATAGATAGAATATTTTTTAAAGATGAAGAATTTCAATCTTCTACATTGGCTGCTTTATGCTGACAGTGCTAGGTTGTGCTGTTCATTTTCTCCCCTTGTGCATGATAAATCACTGAGAAACTTTCAGTGTCAGGAAACTGCTGGATGGCTTGTGTAAAAGATGTGTCTGTGGGACTCTAACTTACTCCAGAAAACTGTCATAACTAAATATCTGTAGTAAATGTAGTGTGAATCCTTTCAGCTCTAACATGGTAGCTGAAATCCATCCTTCTCCAATCTTGAACAAAAATAACACTAGGTACATCATTTGACCACTGTTCTGAGCATATTTATATTATATTATATTATATTTTATATAAATATAAAATTGCTATATTTGCAATAGGACTCAGAAGATACAAGTCATTCAATTACATCAGAATGGGTAGAGTCATGGTTTGGTTATGTTAGAGTACTAATGTGTCATATATAGATTCATGAAGAAATGTTGGCTCAGATTCTGGAAGTTTAAGTGTGAATTTGAAGGACAGCATGGGATTTTTACAGATATACATTTCACAATACATCATCATAACATAATTAGCTCCACTGAACTCATACTTAAAGAATATGATGCTACACAGTGAAAAGTTGGAGGAAAACATGAGCCTTAGTACATCACTGTATCAAACCAGATGGTGTGACAAATAGCATTCTTTGTGACCTGACTCACAGCACTCCTTTACAAAATTACTTGTGAACTGACATATCATGCAGATCTGGTACTGATTATTTTTTGTTTGAGGTTTGGGTGATGATACAAGTATTAATGCAGTGGAGAGTTAGGCAGCAGGTTCACAATTTTAAAATATGTATATATATATATATCCTTTCAGCAATAACATCTTGGGTTTCTTCGTTATAGAAATCATAACCATGTGAATGTGAAATCTTACTGATGCTGTATAGCTTCACTGTAGTTGCTGCCAGGAGAAGAAAATTATAGAGCTCAGCAGGAGAATGGAGGAAATTAAAGAGTTTGTCTTTTGAAAATGTCTTTCCTGTATGCAGTCAGCACTGCCTTCTTCATGGAGCTATTTGTGCTTCTTGGTGAGCTGTAGTGCCAGATGTGTGGAGCCAGTAACACTGAAGTAGCTGCATACTCAGTAGCCCACCGATAGGAAATGTCCTTGATTATCTGTGGCTTTGTGCAGAGCTCTGTGCTGTTGGAAACCTGTGCTATGAGATTTGTGTGTCAGGTCATGATGATGGATCTGGTATTTGTCACACAGTGACATCTGCGTGTGGTCTGACATGGTGCGTGCAGGTGGCAGTGTAAAAGATGCTTCTGGTAGTGAGAAGTGCTTCCTTTAATTGCAGGAGTTCTCTGGTGCTCCAGAAAGCTGCTGGTTCCTTCTGTTTTTATGAGGTAACAGATGTTACAGAAGACCTGGAGACTGAGAGAAAGTGTCTCGTGGTCAAAGCTTGAGATTTGGCAAGCCTGGCACATGAAGGACAACCAGCCACCTGCTGCCCTTTTTTCTTCTCTTCGTTCTGTGAATGTCAGTGGATCTCCTATTGATTGCTTCCTTTTGGAATATGAACGGAAAAAAGAAAAAAGGCAGCTGGGATGAAAGTTGGGAAGTAGACCATAAGTTGGGAATTGCTGCAAAGACTTAGCCTCAAACCATTCTTAATTAAGAGAAAACAATTTCCTAGCTAAATGGAATCGAAAACTTTAGTTGCACCTTGTATCATAACTTACAGAACTGACCAGCATGCAATTTAAGCATGCTGCTTAACAAATATGCTAACAAATATGGAGCAACTGATTAATTTGAAAAGGAAGTTCTTTCAATAAAAAGAACCTAACACCGATGAAGAAACAGTTTCTAAACAGGGAAATGTTCTCTGAATAGGGAAAGGCAGCACGTTCCTACTTTGATATTGGATAGTCAGTAGATAAGGGTATTGCACAGTAACTTCCAATGCATCTGAGTGCTGACTGCTGTTGTGATGAGTCACATGGAATGCTTCCTGAGTTCTCACTTCTGACATACTGGTAGCAAATTGCACTTGTGAATTACAGGAGTGTAATGAATTCCTTAGTGTGTGAGATGTGGAACATTTATCAACAGGCATACCTATACTTGTGTATAATATTCAAAACGTCTGTAGTTTTGCACACCTGCATATGTGCATGCACACAGCATGTGTGGTATAGACTGAGTGTTTTGCCAATGTCTGCTTTGTAAAATGAACAGAGGGAGATTATTGAAGAATATTTTGGATATTTTGAAACTGTTCTGGAACAGGTCGGATCTTTCTGCATGGAACACTGTGAAACTCAACCCACAGAACAGTTTAGGCAACAAAGCTGTTTTTCATGTACTTCATATTAGAACCCAGAAATGTCAGATATCTAAACCTTGTGTTTAACTTGTATACATCCCAGAGCAGGGAATTGCCTAGAGAAGACCAGGAGAGATGTGAATATAAAACAAAGCCTAACTCTTATCAAGACCCAGGCATTTTATTCAGCAGTATCACAAAGTACTTCCAAACTACTGTATTTTGCGTAGAGTGAAGTTAGAGAGAATTGTAGAAGTGCCTCAGTTCTTGGACTGTGTGCCTAGAAATACATTTCAGCTGTGTCAGGGCTGGTGTGTGTCAGGGCTGGTGTGTTTCTGGGCATTTCCATAAACAAAATTGAAGCAAGTAAGGGAGTGCTTTTGGAGTTTAGGTTATAGTTGACAAGGGATTTTAGAGACTGCAAGCTTGTACTGGTTGTATTGTGATAGAGCTGGCCTATACATCCCCTGTTTTTAACCTAATCCTCACTAAGGGAGAATTCTGTAAGCACCCACTTTTAGCTTTAAAGTGATATTAAAAGGTCAGCATATGTGCATGTAGATGAGTGCATGCCTCTTAATTTGAAAGAATGCAGGGTTTGGGAGAGGGAGGGCTGCCCTTTGTTAGTGATTATGTTGAGTTACTTATAATTGTAAGCAGATATGAAAATATGTCATGCTTAAACTTTGCTTATGATCAGTGATTGTTATCACTGCTCATTTCATGTTTCTGTGTTGGATTTCATTTATGCTGAGACTAGAAGAATTAGGTACAGCAGCCCATACTGAACCTGTTGTTTGCTTTTCAGGACTTTCTTTTCCATGGTGCTACTTTCGTATTTTATTTTGGAGCTTTTCTACTGCAAGCAGCAACTACTTCTCTGCATAACTACCCTCGCGGATTAAATTCCACAACAAATATGAAGATTCTAGGTGATCATGAATATAACATAAGCATAGCAGCCTCGGTATGTACTTCATGAACTTGTATCTGGCAGTGGAATTGTTGTAAGTGCTGGTAACCAGCCTTTCAACTTGGGAACTGAGCTGGAATAGGAAGAGGGATTGTGGGGAAGAAAAAAGTCTTTGGAAGCAGCTAACATTCTTAAAGCAGCATGCAAAAAAGCGTAGTTATCTATTAATGGGGCCTCATGAGAGAGGTGCTTAGATGATACTTTTCACAGTGGCGTTTTAGGTCTGTGATTGATACAGAATCTAGTTTTTAGATGAGATATCTTGTAAAAGCAATGCTGGGTATTGGAATAGAAGAAAAAGATGAAAACTTCATCAAAGCTTCAGGTATGACTTTCAAGGCTGCTCTCAAACTTGTAATTGTTTGGGTTTTTTGATACCTTTTAGATAGTCCTGAGCATGCTGTAGGAAAGAATCTTGGACTAGCTCCTTATGAAGCTCCAGATATGTGTTTTCTGATAAAAATAAAAAGTAGCTGCAAGGGACATGCTATCTCCAGCGGTAAGGATTAGAGAGCTTTTATTGATCAGCTAAGCTCAGATCACCTTTTTATTGCTATAATTGCATCATCACTGAATCACTGTATCTGGTGATGTGAGCGTGCATTGCTGAGCCAGAAAATACACAAAGCTTTAGCTTTCTCCCTGGCTGGACTCCTGAATGGCAAATAAAGGTGTGCCAGCAGAATTAACCTGAAGAACTGAAACTACTCCTTGTTTTGTGTTTTGGGTCGGTCAGTTGGTTGGTTGATTTGTTTGGTTTTTGTTGTATTTTTGGGCTTGGGTTGTTGGGTTTGTTTGTTTGTTTTTGCATCTTCCAGGGCATCTCACGTACTTAAAGAAACTTCTTACATTTATTAAGTTTCTGAATCATTCTGGGGGTACCTCTTGTCCTCAAAATTAGATGACCATAAAATTTTACACAGTAAACACCTTCAGCTCTTGATAGAGTGGATCAAAATGGATAAACCCAAAGTGTAAGATTTACATCATCTCTTCAGGAGTAGAAAAGTCTTTTACTTTGGCAAGCCAAGCTCTGAAAGAGTGAGTTGAGCATGTCAGTCTCAAGTTCCTCACCATTACCCACTTGCCAGTAACATAGTCCAGCACATCAAATTCCTGTATGGCCATGGCTGGTAGACAAGTGATGTCTCTCAACTGTGTCTAAACTGAGGGAGACCTTTGAATTAATTATAAATCTTGAATTCCAAGCTTTAGAGTAGCTCCTCAGTCCTTGTTTCAATGTGTTCAGATCTTACTTGATATATGATAACTCATGTGACTGAAGAAAAATATTTTATCTTCTCTGACGGCAGAATACTGAGAAATACAAGGACTCTTTACCCCTTCCATACTTTTTTTTTTTTTTTTTTTCCCCCTAAGGAGAATTCAGTACTTCACAACCCTCGGATTTCTGCTAAGAAGGAGTAAGAGGACATGATTTTGTAACTCAACTGCTAATTAAGAGATGCTGGGAGATGGTGGATGAGATTAAGTAGTTTTTAGTGTCTTTATATTTTTTCCAGAAGTACCTAATAAGGAAGTCAAAGCATACAAAAAAAAAAAAAAAAAAAAGTGACCCTTTGAAACACATCAGTGAAACAATCCTATGATCTACATGATGGGGAAAAAAAACCCAACAAGATAAAGCCTTGCTAACATTTTTTAATTTTATTTTAAAGTGATTTTAAAGTGGCTTTCTAGTTGTGTATACTGCAATTAAAATGTATCTTTTGCTTTTATGAATAATAGTTCTGGAATCTATTCAAAATTTATTTGTCAAATTAATGCTTGTGTGGAAGGAAGGTTGTTATCACTGGGTTGAATCTATATATTCTAATAGAAAGTGTCCATGATCAGTACTGGACAATATGAGAAACTATCATTTCCAACAACTCAGTTTCTAACTTCTTCCTTCTTGTTTATATTACATATTTACTTTTGCCATGCATGGCACGATTTGCAGTTCTTATCTGTTCAATTTCTTGAGCTGTAGCAGCTTTCTGACATTTCTCAATAATCTCCTGTCATGTTCTTTTTTTCTGGCTAAAGAATCCCAACTTCAATCTTTTTGTTTCTTTCTGCAAGTAAAGAGCTCTGCTGTTTAGAGAGACGTCTCCTTCATTGTTTGCCAGTAAATGCATTCATCTGGATACTTTCTAATCAAACACTAATCTTAGGTTATCAGTCTAGATAAGAGAAAACTGAAGTATAAGATGGAAGTACATGCGATTAATTTCCACAATAACCCACAAACATGTTTATGTCCTATTTCAAAATATCTTCAGTGACTAAGTTAAAAACAGTAATGTGGGATTAAAACAGGGTTTATGAGAGAGCTTTGGAGGATCCCAGATCTATGTTTACCATCAGGGAGGTACCACTTGAATTATTTGTGTTGTAATATTAATTTAAAATAGAAAAAAATAAGTAGAGCAATATGATGTGTGATTCATTTTTTTTCTTTTCTTTTTCTTTTCTACCTGTTCATCCTTTAGATTTTTGCCTTTGCAACAGCTGTTTGTTATGGTTTCAGCACAGCCCTGGCATTGAGGAGATGGAAGCTATAGCAGTTGAAGAGACTTTGATTCCTGAGTGTTCTACTTCAGATCAAATTAAGTACTACTTGTCTGTTTTACTGTAATGTTATTCCAAAAAGACTTTTTGCTTAAAATTTGTTTCCAAGTGTTGAAATGCAAATAACCCTTAATCAGGATTTATTTAACAGAAGAGAAGTTTCTGTCTCTTCCTTTTTTTATTTTTTACTTTCATTGGGAACTCCTTATAAACATTATTTGTTGAATTGTAATCCAGAGTTCAGAGATAAGCAGATGTTACTAGCAGATAACAGAGTACTGGTGCTAAACCAGAAGAACAGGAAGAAAACTGAAACTAAACAGACATGTTACCTGCATAGGCAGCTAAAGAAGCTACCCCCCCTTGTTAAGGCCTGGGATTGGGCTCTACGTGTGCTGCAGCATTACGGTGTGTTCCACACAGGTAGGGCCTCGAGGCTCTTTGTAGAGTCACTGATCTTGTGTGTGCTGCTCTTTGCATGATCAGAGTCCAATCTGACTGCGATATCAGCTTAGTGTGTGTTACTAACTTTGTACAGAGAAAATATTTTAAATATCCATCCAGTGCAATCTTTCATTGTTGTTTTACAACCATATTCAGCTATGGTGATTTGATCATTCCAGCCTACTGTATTCTTTTGTAGATGGAAAATGACTGGGATTGTCAAACAGTAAGTAGTTGATTAGTTTTAGAAAATCAGCTCAATCAGATCTATTTATACTGCAAAACAAACAGTGCATTTGTGTGGTGTGTGTATATAAGTGGCATAAATTTGACAGGACAATTTGCACTGTTTTATTTTGTGGAAATACAGCTTTGTTTTTGTAACTTAAGTGCTGCTTTTGTTACTTATTATGTGAGTCAACATCATTTGAATGGAATGTTACCAAATGGTGACTGTTGTCTGACCTCAATTCTTGCAGTGCAGTATTTGGTGCATCCTGATGTTGGTTTGTGTTGTAAAGGTGTTTTTATTTAGACAGATGCCTATGCAACATCTTTCTGAAAGCAGCGAAATGCAAAGCAGTCTGCCCATTACAGAGTTGGCTTTTGGCAGAAAGGAGGGTTAATTGAATATTCCAGTTGTGTAATGACACCATTATAAATACAGAATTAACTTAAATACAGCATTGTGCCCTGCTCCTTAACAACTCTTGTCACTAGTGCCAAATTGATAATCTGGGAGCATAAAAGTTCCCTATCATTCACAGAAGTTTTTGCTCACTGCTTCTTGCCGTTGCACCTTACACTTCTGCAGAAACTGCACCTTAGAATTCTACAGAGAACAGCAGTGGTTGGGTGAGGGAAGACAGGATGTTCCTCATTTCCAAACCTGCTCTTTCTCCTTGAGCCAACCAAAGTGAGAGCCTGTTATGGAAGGTACTTGCCAAATTTGTCAGGAACAAGGATCTCTGAGAGCTGCCAGCCTCATGGAGTCCTTCAGTCCCTGCTGACCCAGCACAGAGATTTTGATCAATGACGCAGCAGCGAGTGGCAGCCTTTCCAACTTCTGGAACCACTCAGTCCTGAATTACTGCAATGGGATGTTTTTGTATATCTTGTTTTCTGAAATTTTTGTCTTAACAAAGATTTTGTACTCTGCCTGATTTTATTTTTTTTTTTCTAATCCTTTACTTGCATTGGAACTTGTTTTGTGAATGTTTTATCTAGAGCCATATACTTTAAAAAAATATTTCATATTGTATAAAATATGTACAGTAACACTGGAGTATATGGATGAAAATGTTTAACAGACTTACCTAAGCAGCATTAAAGTTACTTAAAATGTTTATGGCAGCAGTCTGGTTATTAATCCTCTGTTTGGAAGATAGCAAGAAAGTCTGGCCTACAGACAAAAGTCTACATGGCAAGTGTGACCTTTTACAGAATCTCAGAATCGTTTGAGTTGGAAGAGACCCCTGAAGGCCATCTAGTCCAACTGCCTTGCAATGAACAAGGGCACCTGCAGCTAGAGCAGGCTGCTCAGAGCCACATTCAGCCTTTTCTTCTGACAGACCACTTGTGAGTACAAACATACACCCGTACAAACTCATATATATGTGCTTATATGTATGCACAAAGATAATGCATATTCATAATCGTGCAGAAAATGAACTTCCAGGGCACATTTAAAAATAGATGCTCTTGATGCCTCACATAGAAAATTAAGGCTAAGGTTTCGTAAGAAGGCACAGTTTCGTTAGTGTTAGATTTGTTTAGTGATTTGCACAAATGTTAGTGAGGAGAAGTGCAAGGTCAGCTTCAACAACACTGTAAATGGGCACAGCACTTTGATAGGGTTACTTCCTCACCCTGCAGCCTAGATGTGTATTGCACACCACAGAGTATGTATGCCACAGCCCCTGCAACCAACTGGGATGATGAGGGAGAAGTCTTAATTTTTTTGCCTGTTTAAACTTAAAGAAGAGGAATGCCACGTGATGTCAGTTAAAAATCTGACCAGGTTTAGTTGGTCTTTGTATCTATCTCTGAGTTCAAACCTGAGGTGTAAAGATGATGACTAGTGGGTTTGGTTTAAATCTCTTAATGTACTTACAGAAACCCAGCAGAGTGCAGTTAGAATAGCTTGGGAACTGTTTGCATAGTGAGGAAAGGCTAAACTTTCCTTCTTAACTATCAAAGACAAACAAAGGGCAAAGAAGAGATAAAGGTAAGAACTACGGTAATGGAGAGGTGGCTTTCATGGTTAACAAGGGCAGGGCATAAATGTTCTGCTAGTATGCAAGGAATCTTAATGGTCTTTGAGGAAAATCTAAAGAAAGATGCACCAGAACAAGGAAGCAGTTGCATTCTTAAAAAAAAAAAAAAAAAAAAGCCCTGACCCAACAACCAGTAATTAATTTGATATTACCTTATACATAACTAAAATGACAGGTGTGACTCACAAATAGTACGTGTGTGTGCGTGCTGCAGTCTTTATGCAAATACTTACAGGAGAGTAACACAACCCTTGTGATAGTTACTACTAGTTACTACAGGTGATATGTGTGGGCTGATTCTTACACATCCCATTCTTTTCTCTTAAATGTTCAGAAATGCCCCCAAGCCTGTGACTGGTGACACTGAAGAACACAAGTTTACATCTTCAAAGAATGGAAGGGGCTGGGAATAAGATAGGGATATTTACTGTTGCAATAAATTCAAGGTGAAAGGAATGAGGCTACAGATGCCAAATGGTGTTTTCATCAGATGTCTCTATCTAATGTGAAGCTACAGTGCAGGCGAATCAAACATACCATACAGGTACCTACTCTTCTAGAATCAGAAAATATTTCATAATATTTCATATTATTTTGTATATCAGCGTTCAGTAGCTGCTGGTAAATAAGCAGTTGTGAGGAGAGACAGCTTGCAAAGGATGCAAGGAGAAACAATAGTTCACTGGCTATTGCTGAAGAGAAATGAAAGGACACAGTTTACAAAGCTGAACCTTTGCTCAGATGTGTTCAGAAATGATGCACAGAGGGTGCTTCACAGAAATCCTAACTCTACTGACTTGCTGAATTATCTGGAAATAACTTAAAGTGACACGGTTTCTGCAGTGACAACTGATATGTACAGGATCAGTCTATTTGTGATTTCTCACACTTGTGTATGTGGATTAAAACCTATAAAGTTTAGCTGCTTTAAAACACTGCTTTAAAATGCAGCTGTAAAGCACATCTGTAGAAAGTGAAAGAGTCAGAACCAGGCAGAGATTGTGCAGATCGGTGTCCTCCATAAACTGTTAAAGAAAAAGCACTGACAAATCACTAAGTGAATGTCTTGTTAGCTTCAAGAAAAAAACACCTCACAGTGCTGATTCCCATTATGCTTCCTCTAATATACACATATATTTGCAATTGCTTTATAACTTTAAAAAATGTTGACATTCCTAGAATCACAGAATCGCAGAATGGCCTGGGTTGGAAGGGACTTCAGGGATGATGAAGCTCCAACCCCCTGCCTCGGGCAGGGCCACCAACCTCCACATTTAATACTAGACCAGGCTGCCCAGGGCCCCATCCAACCTGGCCTTGAACACCTCCAGGGACGGGGCATCCACAACCTCTCTGGGCAGCCTGTTCCAGCACCACTCTCTCTGTGAAGAACTTCCTCCTGACATCCAACCTAAATCTTCCTTGACTTAAAACTATTTCCCCTTGTCCTATTATCTATCCTTTCAAAGAGTTGACTCCCCTCCTGTTTATAGGTTCCCTTTAGGTGCTGGTATTTTCCTGTCTGAATTTGAAGAAAAAAAGTAAGAGTATAAAACTCTTTGAGAACCAGTTTGCTCCACTTTTATCTGCATTCTGTGAAACAGATCTCTGAACACCAGGATCCTGATGCATTTCATGCTCAGTTGCCAGTCCACCAGGTTGTACAGAAGAGCTTTCTGTGGTTTGTCTGAAGATAATGGAGAACCATGATTCCTAAAACTGAGATGCCAATATAACATTGGACATTTTGATCTCGCAAAAAGGAAAACTGGAAAGTGAGAGCATGTATTTTTATTTTTATTTTTTTAATAATCTGCATCTTAGAAGAGGAAACAGTCCTGAAGAATCTGCAGTTTTAAGCTGCTTCCTCATATGCAAGGGTTGAGTGCTACATCCTTGGCATTAGCAAAACACTGCTGCATCCAGCCTGCCAGGGCACAGCACCTTTCAGCTTAGAAACCTGAGCTAAGTTTTGGCAACTGACTTGTAAAGCTGCATTTCAGGAAGCACAATGATCAAGTCATCGGGCTGTGGACAGTTATGTTTTTAACACCTTAGTTGCTGTGGGGTTATTGCAGTTATCTATATGGATTCTGGAGATTGTGAATGATTCAGACTGATCAGATCGATTGTGAAAGGCTGCAAAGAGGCTCTTGCCTGAGGACTGACTGCTGCAGACTCATACTTTATTGCAGCAGTAACTGTATTCTTCAAACAACTACTGGACCTTTTAATCTCATACGAACACATTGTCTGGTCTTCTCAGCAAAGTGTGACCCATATCAGTGGACCAACAATGTGGAAAAATAAACAACAGATGAGAGCAAGCCCAGAGGGTTCCTTGTGAAGAAAAAGATCTTTCAGCACTCTTCTTAGTGCAGAGCCAAGACCTCACACTGCCCTATTTTCCTGTACAATGGTGCTGGGACTTCTAGTGATCTGATTACATGCTTGGGCAGTTCTACTGACAGTGCCCAGGAATGATTACTTTGTTGCAGGCGTTGTTTTAGGTTCAATAAGCTTTTTGAGACAAATTGAAGAGGCAAAAAACCTGTTTTCTTTAAAAAAAACAAAACAAAACAAAACAAAACTTTGCTACCTCTTTTTTTCTGTCCATGCAAGTACTATATCAGTTTTTCTTCACAAATACTTTTGAAGAGGAAAGCATACTGTAGAATAAATTATTAATGTAATTAATGATACCATAGATCTTCATACTTACAAATTGAAGGGCCTAGAGATATTTTCAACCTCTTGGGGCTAGCTGAATGTTTCAGCGATGTCACAGCTCTGAGATTGTAAGATCTCCTCCTCTCCCTGCCTCTTGCCTGCTTATGGAAAGGAAGTTGGGCATGCAGGGAAGCAGGGAGCTACAGCATAATCTAAACAAGCTGGACAACCCAGAAACCAGTGCTGTGTATTTGGGTACAATCTGCTGTTAGGCAGCTCATGCATGAAAGGGCACAGATGGGCTCAAGATGGTTCCACCAAAATAATGCACAAAGTTAAAGCAAATGGAAGAACTCTGTGAATGGCCCACTGACTGTATAAGGAGAGCTAAGACCATAGCACTTCACTACACTTGTCCCATGTATTTAACCTAGCATTTTGTGTGAGTCTTGACTCCTTGCTACGCCTGTTTTGCAGACTTTAAATACCTTGGCCTGGGTTGTGATGCCCTGGGAAACCTGTAAGGCCAGCTTAGAGCCTTGGGCTGTTTAAAGAAGGGACAGAGTCAATAATCACCAGATGATCTAACCCAAAATACAGGATCAGAGAGGAAGGGGAAATGTTCCCCACTTCCCAGACCCACTTCCCAAATCGGTACTAGCTCTAAGGATTGGAAAAAGGACAGAGCAGTTCTCCTCTTACTCTGTTCCATGACTCCAACTGTCATGGGCCTTGGTTAAACATGGATTATCAGAAAAGAGGTGTAGGTAGACTGAGGTGTCATCTGAGTGCTGAGGCATGTCTGACCTGACCCACAGCAGTGACAGCTGTTCCTGGGCCAAAGCCCAAGCTTCAGTCCATGACCTAAAATGAAAAAGTAAATATGAATGAGAAAATTGAATAATGATTTTGTCAACTGGTCCGAGTTGTAGCTGGAGCAAATTTTCTTAGAAAAAGAGATGTCTCATGTTAAACAAGAGGCCAAATTTTGCTTTTAGTCATAAAAATGAAACTTCCTTTGGGGTCAAGTCACATGCAATTTCAGTGATGGAAAGAAGAGCAGAATTTTCCTTCGGCACTGAAGAGAGCTGACCTTTGAAATAAATGGTATTACAAATTCCTTGGCCTTATGTCATTTGTCTTTTCTCCTAAAGATCTTGCTGCTGGGATAAGCTCTTGCTGGAATAGCTGCTGCCATTAAAGGAAAAATAACCCTGGTGATTGTGGTGGAAGTAGAAAGCATGAAGGCTCCAAGTTTAAAATCCAGCACCTGTAGGCTCTCATTGTTTTAGGGGATCTGACTGATCCTAGGCTGTGATTGGCCTAGGATTGGACAGCTGTGAGTACACTGTCACATCAAATTCCCAAGATGGATTACTGCACTACCAACACTTCCTTTG